CAGGAAGCCTTTCTTGTCTGGGCACATGGGAAGCTGCTTGTAAGCATGTTGGAAACTTTCCAAAGGGTCCTTAAGACTCTCTTTCTTTCCTAAACAACGTATCATTTATATTATACTAGTCTGAATATTTTAAGAACAACTCCTAATGATTTGTATCACATATTTATTTAACAAGCGTGGAGCTCCTCATAAACTCCAGGCATTGTTCCAAGTGTGAAGGCTGTAGGAAAACTCAGTCCAGTGAGGCCAGGCCTTGTAAGAGAATTGATATTTTAGACAAATGCATGTAATAATATAACTTCAGGCCTACATGTAAATCGCTCTCATCAGTCTATCAACTACTGAAGCAAGAACCATCTCTGTTTATCTCTCTGGATTGAGTAAATGTATTGTTCCTCAGCAATCCCATCTGCAAGTGATGTGTTTCCTTTTCCTAGAGAATTTCAGCAGGGAATGGAATCAACCATTCCTAACAAGAAAACTAATACTAATGATTGGAACAACTGCTGAGTTTTAATCATCATTATCAGCTATTGAACTCTGGAAGCAAATCTAAGAAATTTCCTTTTACTCTGTCACTTGGTCTCTGAGTTATAAGAACAATGTGGAAGGCAGTTTACTGGTGTAAGATGTCTATCTCATAAGTCCCCGAATGAATGAATATGCCAGATTAAATTTCAAAGGGGTGTGTTGATGCTGATGGGAATGAGGTGATTGACTCATACTCTTTACAATGGAGAAAAAATTCTGAGTTATTACAATGGGCCCAGGATCACAAAGATCCTTAAATGCAGAAGAGGGAGACAGCAAAGCAGGTTTATACTGATGCACTGGGGGAAGGACTTGACCAGGATTTGGAGAAGGAGGGCCACCAGTCAATAAATATAAGCAGCTTTGAGAAGTTGGAAATGGCAAAGAAATGGACTGACCCCAGGACATCCAGAAGAGAAAACTAACCCTTTGAACCTCTGATTTTAGTACCATGAGCTCTAATTGGGTCAATACTGGAGATCTATACTTCTATTCCGCAGAACCATAATGTATTTATTGCTAAGGCTCTACATGTGTAGTAATTTTTTTCAGCAGAGAAAACTAATGCACTATCTCCAGTTATGTGGATGAGGCATGAAAGGCTCAGAGACACTGGAGAAGTTTCTAGTTGTATTATTGGTTGGAACCAAGATTTGAACCCACAGCTAACCTCAAGAGGAAGGTGATGCTTACCTTTGCTGCTATGAATTTGTATGTTTATATTGTAAATAATATCTATCTTTACTCACAGATAGGCTGTAACTCTCAGCTCTCTCACACAGATCTGACCTCAGGTCTCATCTGAGGCATCTATGTGTAACATGTGTTTCTAGTGAATGCATATGGCGCTGAGTTCCTAAATGTCATAAGAACATGTAGCCATACACTGAAAATGTATACCATCAAAGTCATGAATTTTAATTATGTAAGAACTCTGAGAGTGCTAGATTAACAAAGTATATATAGAAATGGGTGATTATACTTGGGCTAACTTGTCAGCTATGGAAAATTCTGGAAGTAATAGTGTTGTGGAAATCAATCATCATAGACTTGATCATGTGTAGAGCCCAGAGGAAAAATAGCACATGGGAAGTAATACCAGTTCACAGGAAAGAAGGAAAAATATTTGAAATATGAAAATGGTTCCATTTTTCAAAACACCTTTTCTTTTCTCTATAGAACAATGTGAATCAATCAAATTGTCAACAAAAGCAATCTCAGATGAGATTGTTTCTAGAAAGAAGAGAGTTGACTAAGACCATAGAGTCAGTGAGTGAGCTCACTCTGCACACTAATTAGACTCTCCCATGGTACAAGAGGTCAACCAATCAATGCATAAATAAAAGGACAGAAACTCAAAGACAAAGTTTCCCTCCACCACTGGGAAACCTCTTAGCCTTATTACAACTGCCTTCAAGGGCTTTGTCAATAAACCAGACATGGGAGGCGGGAGGGAGGAAACAGTCCATTTAAAGGAACTACCCAAGTTGACCTAAAGTGCTTTCAAAGAAATGTAAGCCTTCCAGGAAAATAGCTTCAGTTCACCTTATCCCCTTAGCCTTTTTGTATCCAATATGTATTATTCATAGAGGTGGGTTTCCATCTGAAAGTGGAGGCTCTACCACCCATCCTTGGAAGTCCGTTCTAAAACCCACCAGGCCTAAGACTCCACCTTTCATTGATCCCTGAGGTAGATGGCTCTGTATCAACCTGAGGTCACTTTTGTGAGCCTCTCATTTCAGCCACAGCTTGAAGAACAATTCCAGCCTGTGTTGACACTGATCTTCCTCATGCCTGCATATTCCAGGACTCCCCTCTACCTCCCCCTCCCCTCTTGTTTTGGTCATTCATGGAACTTGAACTTCGGGCCTGGGAAACTATCCCTGAGCTATTTTGTGCAAGGCTACCACTTTGAGACACAGTGACACTTCTGGTTTTCTGGTGGTTAATTGGCAATAAGAGTGTGATAAGAGTGTCATGGACTTAATTGCCTGGGCTGGCTTTGAACTGTGATTCTCAAATCTCAGCCTCCTGAGTAGCTAGGATTACAGGCTTGAGCCAACAGTACTGGCCCCATACCCTTTCTTAAGCTCACTCTTCCCGGATGTGACAGGGAGTAGGGTGAGGTAGGAAGTGTGCTGCCTCCTCCTCTCTCTACTGCCTGACTGATATTAGGGCTCAGTTCTTTGTCTGAAATCCTACAAGTCTGTTTAGTCTACTAGCAAGGATAACCTGGAAATGAGAAAAAGATAGTGCCTCTGTAGGCAAACTCTGCTGATTAGAATTGCAGGTGGGTAGACCACAAAAACAAAAATAAAGTCCACTTCCTGCTCCTTGATGGGAAAACCAGAGCCATTCTGGATACTCCTTAGAGATCCTGATGGAGCAAAGTTTTTCCTGCCTTCACCAACATCCCAATCATACCCTTTTATGGCTTCTCTTCTCCTCTGTGTTACTCTGCTCACTCTACTTCGTGAAATCACCTGCCAAACAAACATCTGCACCAAATCAGAACTCACATGCAGGCACAGCTGTTGTGTGCTAGAAGCTGCTTTAATCCCTCTACACAGCTTGCCTTTCCCTTCCTAGTATTGGTCCTTTCATACTGAGAGTGCCATCTGAGCCCCATGGCATTAATAGATGGGACAACCAAATGACTGAGTAGTGTCTTTACTGTTCCTCAGGATTAATCTTCTTACACTTCTGGACTGCAGGTGCTTGTCAATTAAGGCTGTACAAAGTGTCAGGGCTTTGGAGCAGGCATTGAGGAAAAAAGGGAAAGTAAGTTCAGAGGCAGCATAGGTGGTCTGGTCTCAGAGTCCACCCTGTATGCACGTGTCTTCCATGCTCCTGAGGAAATGAAGACTTGAGGCAGCGAATTAATGCCTGAAACCGTGCAGGCAAATAGTGAAGTTGCGAATCCTAGATAGATACATAGTCACAGACACAAAGACCCAAGCTTACCTGCTGACTATTCCTGATTTCTTTCTTTGATCTCTCTCTCCCTCCTTCCTTCCCTCCCTCTTTCCCTCTCTCCCTCCCTCCCTCCCACGATTCCTCCCCTCCTTCCTTCCTTCCTTCCTTCCTTCCTTCCTTCCTTCCTTCCTTCCTTCCTTCCTTCCTTCCTTCCTTCCCTCTCTCTCTTTCTTGTTTCCTTGCTTCCTTCATTCTTTTTGTGCTGGTCTTGGGGCTTGAACTCAGGGCCTGAGCACTGTCCCTGAACTTTTCTTTTTCTCAAGGCTAGCACTATACCGCTTGAGCCACAGCTCTACTCCTGGCTTTTTGGTGATTAATTGGAAATAAGAGTCTCTTGGACTTTCCTGCCCAGGCTGGCTTTGAATCTTGAACCTCGATCTCAGCCTCCTGAGTAGCTAGGATTACAGATGTAAGACTGGTGCCTGGCCTTTTTTTTTTTTTTTTAAGGCCATCATTTAATGCTTGAAACTTAAAAGAATAAAATCAGTTCAGTGAAATCCCTCTTGGATTATAGAAGCTCTTATACTGCAAATTTGCAGTGGACTGGGGAGCTTGTCTCTTTCTCTAATCTGGATAGAATTTTTCTGAAGGTTGGTTCAAATCACTGCTGAACAGAAGAGTCCACCACACTGGAGATTTCATGACAGTTTAAAAGGGTAGAAGCTATATTCTCCTCCTGAACTTTACTGAGCTGAAGGAAGCAGCATCCCAGGAAATAGGGGAGAACAAAGGAGGGATTTTGTCCAACTCTCCTTCCTCCATTCCTATTCCTCTGCTTAAATGGAGGTTAGGAATCAAGGCTTGTTTATTTATATTTAGGATGTCCTTTTCTCTAGTTTTCTTCCATCTAGAGTCCCTAAGGTCCTTCCGAATGCTGATCTCCTTATGCTCTTCCCTTGCTTTAAAAATCCTTCAATGCTTTTCCTTAGCTTTCTGAGGAAGACGGTATTTCTAACTATGGCTTGAACTGAGGGTCTGGGTGCTGTCCCTTAGCCTTTTCACTCAAGGCTAGTGCTCTTCCAATTGAGCCACAGCTTCACTTCTGTCTTTTTATTGGTTAATTGGAGATAAGAGTCTCAGAGACTTTCCTTCCTGGGCTGGCTTTGAACCACAGTGCTCAGATGTCAGCCTCCTGAGTAGCTAGGATTACAGATGTGAATTCCTGGCTAACGCACAGTTATTTTCAAGTAGGGTTCTTCTAACAGAATGTATGATGTGGACAGTGTTCCTGATTTTGCTTATTCTTGTATCCCCAATGACTGGAACAGTGATTATGCATGGAAAGTCCTAGAACTGTGGAAGGATTGAATGAGCAACACTGGGCTCAGGAATCAAGGAAAGGAGAGGGTGGGGGTGCTATATTAACCCTTGTTTTCTTGTTGCTACAGCCAAACAGGTTCCATCATCAAGGTCCTTTCATTGCTCAGCAGCATTGTATGCAATAACTTTATTAAGGTCAAATAGATATCACAATACAGGTTTATCCCACAGGATCAAGAAACTGATTTGATTACAGATATCATCAAAGACAAGGCTGTTTTGTGCTATAATGCTTCGGAGATCACAGATCACACATTGAGTTTGTACATTGATCAGAACTCTTGTCTAGAAATACAGATGCTCATTCTGCCCTTCCTGTTGGTCCCTGGTGTTTCAATTGAATTAAATAAAGAAGAAAGACTGGTATTTTCTTGAGAATGAATACATTCCAGGATATGTTTCAGGAGAAATCCTCCTGGGATACAGACTGATATACCAAAGCCATTTTTAATTGATGTGTTGTACTCAATTCAGAATTAGTAATTTTGTTTAATGTATCAGAATTTTGAATAACTGGATGGAGGAAAATAATTAGCTTGAAAATAAATAGGTTTTAAACAATTGGCTGGTCATATAGGTCTATTGCATACTCTTCCTAGACTAATTCTTCAACACATCAGCATCTGAACTATTTTATCTACTCTGCATTTCCAGAGTTCTGATAAAATACCATGTCATAAGCACAGAGTTATTGGGCCTTGCTAGTCATGGTCCACAGAAGAAGATCCACAAAACACTATAGAAAGTTACAAGAATGTAAATAGTTAGCAGAATAACTAGGATAAATACTAGACAGTTACCATATGTAACACTGTCTTCTAATAGGGAAAAAACCCACCCACAATGCAATCAGAACTTGGGTAACATCAAAGACAAATTTGCAAAGTATACAAAGTTATGAATATATTTCTTTAAATATCCATTGAACAAATTCATGATGCAAACTGGAAAGTCTTCATAAATACAGCCAAATGTTTACTGTGTGAGAAACTGCTCATCCATGCATTAAATCATATGAGCATTGGTTTATCAAGTGAGAAAAATACAGAGAAACTGTTTGAAACAAATAGAAACCCGCAGTCCTACTGGGTCTAAAACTAAAAAGTAATAATACATGCATGTTGTGGTACATTGCGACACACCAAATTGTCTCCTAGGAATTGTTTAAACGTCCTGTGCATCAAATGCATCAGAAAACTCACTGCTATTTAATTGGATCTATGCATATTACATATTAGAGACTTTAAGCTACAAAATGTTCCAACTATCTCAATGCACATACAAAATGACCCTAAAGTATCTTTGTATATAACAAGGTACTCTCCAATTAGCCGTTTGTGATGAATAATGTATCTCCACATGTCATCTCTTCTCTAAGTACCATTTATCACGGGCCCAGGCGTTTCTGCCTTAATGAGGAAGACAGATCTCCAATTTACATTCAACCTATTATGCATTAATAACTGATCGAAACTCTTAAAAAACTCTTCTGCCACCAAAATGGAAGGTGGTGAGGCTCCTTCTCCAGGAGGAGGCAAAAGCTACTCGATTAAATCTGATTGGTAAAAGAAGTAGGGCCAGTAGGCTGTTGGCCGAACTCATCAGAGGATTGCCCCAGATTTGCCTGCTGGCTATACCCACCACTTGACCCATAACTTTCTTGGTTGTAACTGCCTTGATTGTAGCTGCTAGAGTGCTTCTCCATGGGATCCGAAAGATATCTCTGTCCTGAGGAATGCCAGCCGGTCTCCTTGAAGACAAACCATATGTTTCCAGCCCAGAGGATGAAATTCAAGAATCCAAACACCTAAAGGAGAATCGGAGCAAAGGAGTTGATAAACTATAGACAGAGACTCTAGGAAAAAATCTCAGTTTTAGAAAAACCTTAGTGTAAGGACACTTTTCATTTACAGTTGAGCTGGTTTTAAGGTTTCACTAGGAACCACTATTTGGTTTAGAATATCCAAATTAAATCAGTTAATTGTTTGCTTGTTAGATGTCAAGTACTGCATAAACAACCTTATATTTATTGATTTCCTCGATGTAAATGGATTCTGCTGTTATATGTTTATATTAAAAGTTTAGCAAGAGTAAGATTCTGGTCCAAGGTCACATGACTTGGTAAGTAGCAGAGAAGGAATGCAAACCCTGTTTGTCTAATATGATAGCCTTAAATCTTGCACAAACCATCATTATCTCCACAAGCAAGGACATATTCTTCATGCTATACAAAGTTATTTTCAGATGGTATATGACTGAATATTTTTATTTTAATAATGGTGCATTCACTTATAAAATTACCATCTCTTTTTGGCTAGACATACTCTTACTCATTTATTGTAATGCTGTAAAGAAAACGTGTAAACTGGGTGATTGTAGCTCACACCTGTAATCCTAGCTACACAGGAGGCTGAGATCTGAGGACTGTGGTTTGGAGCCAGCCCAGACAGGAAAATCCATGAGACTCTTATCTCCAATTAGCTAGCAAAAACCCATCAGTGGAGGTATGTCTCAGGTGGTGGAACATCAATCTTAAAGGAATAATCCATGTGAGAAGGAGATGCCCTGAGTTAAAGTCCTAGCACTGACATATACATATGCACACACACACATACACACACTCAATTTTTAAAATTCACACTAATTATTATTTTTTTAATTAGTGGATTAAAACATCATGGAATAAGCACTGAGTCAGGTGATACAAGGAAAAACAGAGCTAGATAGCATCCTCAAAGGCTGAGTTTCAAGTAGTTGAGGAAATTAAAGTTGCACTCGCTTCGCTTCTTCTTCTCAGGTTCCGAAAGTGGAAGATTTTCAGGGTTATGAAATGCAGTCTCAAGAGCTAGATGTTGAGGTTGTTCTCTGGAAAGTCCACCTGTTCTTCAGCAGGTGAGACAGAAGATCTTGTGTTGCTTCCCCAAATCTTAGGGTTTACTGGAAACAGAATTTATTGCCATTACAACAGACCTAAACAAGAGTCCCGGTTACGGGGCTTGTTCTGTAGCCATTTCCATGACTGTTTAATTTGCATGGGGATTAATCAGAGGCACTTTGTTTTAATAAGCCCACTGGAGACAGATAACCATAGTATGGCTCAAAGCTGTGATGACATGAAAATGTATTTAGTCACTACTCCAGCACAACACTGACCAGTCAAAACGGACTTGGGCAATGACTGGAGCTCTGGAATAGAGTGCTGAAAGTTTATTGCTGGATTAAAATGTATTCCTTGGATTCGCATGGTGGGATAGTCTAGAATTCTCTAGTTGTGTTGGGTTTGTCCAGGATTGTGGGTGGATCCGGATCCAGTGTCGTCACCATAGGACCCAAAGAGCCTGGAGCAGGGGATTTGCTGAAGTGGAGCAGTATTTTACCTGCAGGGGATCATTGCTCGGTCTCTTGATTAATTGAGTGTCAGCCTTCGTGGAGGAGGAATTTATGGATTTGGAATTCGGGGTGAAGGGATGGCTGTGTATGGACAAGGCAGTTTTGTCCCTGGATTTCAGGGTTGTTTTTACCTAAGTAGAATGAAAATAATATTGCCTTCATTTGGGAGGAGTAAAATGGAGATAGATAGATAGATAGATAGATAGATAGATAGATAGATAGATAGATAGTAGACGATGCCTGGCACATTAGTAAATAACAAAAGATAAATTACGTTCGGAATCATTTTCTAAAATATTTACATGCATTATGTTCTGTTGTCTCTTTAACTGCTGCATAAACTGACTGAAGCCGGTTTTAGTAGATTAGATGATTGATAAATACTATTGGCTATTTGAGCCATGCCTCCAGACCTTCTTTGCACTGATTATTTTGAGACAGGATCTTATTTTTTGCCCAGACTTGCACTGGACCCTCATCCTACTACTGTAGACATTCTTTTTCAACAGAAAGGCACAGAGATATCAAAAGAGGCAGACATAAGAGGCGGAAGATGAGAATCGTCCAGTTCCATGACTGTCTTCCAACTCCTGGCTCTAGATTCTACCCTGAGAAGGCATATCCCTCATGTTTTTATGATTATTTTCTAGTGTTTTGCATAAGCCAACTCAATATGACTTGAAGGCAAACAAGTATGTAATTAAAAAATGTGCTTTGGCTGATTAATATCCTGTCCCCTGATTTTGGTAATAAAACATGATTTCTTTTGCAGAGCCAAGTTTCAACCAATCGGCTTGAGTTCTCTCCTGCAGCTGAGATGGAGAAATGTCAGGTTAGGCGAAACTTCCCAGTAATGACAGCTCAATGGCTTCTAGAATGCCAATTCTTCCTTAGATCCTGCCCATTCTTGCTTCTTCAAATCTTGTTAGGCTCACCAGCTGCTTGGTGTTTTTCCAAGGACATTTTTTTTCTCTGATGAAAGTAGAGTCTGTTTATATGCTTTGCAATCTAAACACTTGAATGAATGTAGACATTATGCCAGAAGTGGGGTCCATAGAACCGACATTAAGGATATGAAGAGCATTTTTGTGTTAGGCACTTTAAAATGGCATTCCCATAGGGGGCTAGCAAACTTTTCTTTTTTATTACCATACATTAATTATATGAGAGGAGTTTCATTATGGCATTTCCAGATAAGTACAAATGCATTTCAATTAATCTTCCCTCCTCTGTCATGCTACCTTACTCTTTTCCTGATCTTAAAACCATCTCAACAGTTTTCACTGTTGTATTTTCATACAGGCAAGTAAACTGTTTTCATCATATTTATCCTTATTCAGTCTCTTGTTAGCCCAACCCCCTCACATGTTCCCACACTCCAACAAAACCTGTCTTAGTTTCCTATCATTGAATTTTTTAATGTGTATTAAAATTGGACTATATGATCTGGCCATGGTATTTTAGATCTACATATATTGTGTTTTGCTCAAAATAACCCTATCTATTGCTTTCCTCTTCCCCCCAGCTCTTATTGATCAACAGCTCCATTGAGTCTCCATGTCTTCAGAGATGTTTAATATTGATATATTCATATTTATTTTAATATGTAACATGAAACAACAAATATACTAATATACAATATGCATCTATAATTATAGATTAATTATATAATTGCATATTACTCCTAATATGTATATATGTATCCGTGAATATGTATGTGTTCTGGAGCTCAAAGACTTTTAACTGACATAGATATATGTTATAACACCACTAAACTTCCCTTCCTACATGTCATATTGTTTTGTTTTAATCCAAACAATGCAATTTGATTTCAGGAGATAAATCAATTGTTTTTCATTCATAATTCTTATCTTTTAGCATTAGTGGTGCCAGAGATAGAATTAAAAAGATCATTTGGAACTCTGTAATTTCCACATTGTTTGGAAATTATGAAATAAACAAAGACTGTAAGCAATCATATCCTTTTCACTTTAAGATTAGTCATGCTGATCAAATGTTGTCTACAAACAAGTTACAGAAGCAACCATGCTGTATGCTAATGCATGTAATAACAATCTCAAAATAAATGATAATGATTATGAGCTCCTAATACCAAGTTTATGTACAGGCTTGCTGTCTAACCAAGGTAGGGCTCCCGCTTAGACCATCACTAGGGTAGCAACATTTCCTTCTTTGTAAGTGCCTTCCTAGGTTGATTTATACAAAGCTGGAAAACCACACACTAACCTTGAAGCAAAGGTAATTATTTTTAGGATTTGCTAAAGCATGTTGTTCCTTTAACCAGTACTTCTGAGCCTCCTATTCTTCCATAAGTGCCACTTCGTGTTGCCATTACAGCTTGTCTTTTCCAGACACAGCTTCTTTCTGTGGAAGAACACAAGTTCTCCCACTTATAAATTAAGAATCCAATTTAGGACATCCTTACTAACTTACTTTCCCTCCTTCTCTGTAAGAGCCATACACTTGATGACAATATTTGATTTTGTTCAGCTAATTTAGTGCACCCTTTCAAACAAAGCTATTAAGCAACTAAACTGGGGGATGGAGAAAAAATTTTAAAAATCACCATAGCTATTATAACTACTTTTGCATATCATGTATTTTCTTTGGCATTCTGTGAAGCCTGAATATTTATATGCAGCTTATTGGGTGTACTCTAACTATGTGTTGCTTGAATAATGTTTTCCCTCCCAGGAAATGTCTGTGCCATCAAATATTCCTTTTAAGTTCTGGAAGGATTCAGCTTGAACATTTAGGTTTTATATCTGCTATGGCTTAGAATTTTGACTTGACTGTCATTTAGTCTGCGACCGTTAATACTTGCTAGGATTTTTTTTTAAACTAAGAACTCCAGAACTGGTGGCATTAAAGTGCATCAATTCTGACAATTAAAAACCTGAAGGCAAAAAGATCATCTTGTCCCTAGACTGAAATGATTAACCTTGGATTTGGAGGCAGACATTTCCAAGATGATTATAAAGGTGATTTCTTATTTGTGGCTAGCAAATGAAGACCTGGGATGTCAAGTCTAGATGAAATCTTACTTACCACAGATGTGTTCAAGCTAGACATGACAGGGCTGTGGACGGCCATGCACTTGTTGGACGGCTGTTTGCAAGCGGACATCAGTAACAACACTTCCTTAGGATCTGTTGCGACTTTCACATCAGATAGTCCTTTTGCCCAAGCAGATGAACCCACCAACCACAAGAATGAAAAGACAACAGTGACAATGAAATCCTGCAGAAACATAGATAAAACAGGAAAAGAAAAGAGAGGTGAGTCCCAAAGCCAAACAATTAGTTTATATAACCTTTTCTTAGCCTTTTGGAAAACTCTAAAATCTCTAGCATCAGGACCAGGAGAGACATGTTGAAAAACCAAAGTCATATAATGATGTATTTATATTTACATGAGATAAGTAATGACACTAACCATTACAAAATGTTTATTACATTGCAGGAATGATTCCAAAGACCCCACCATCTTCATCTAACAGTAGCTACAACATTCCCATATAAATGCTATGACTATTACCCTATTCGTAGACAGAAAACTAAGACAGAGAATACTTGCACAGCTTGCTTGAGACTCTAGACACTGTCAGCCTGGCTCTTAACCACTATACTGAGATAATTTAAAAAATTTAGTGATTTTTGTCCATTGTCAAACACTCTTGGCGCTGTGCATGGGGGGCAATCCCAGCTACATAGGAGGCAGAGGTCTGGAGGAGGATCACAATTGGGAGCCAACTGGGGGGAGGAAGATGAGACTATTTCAATTAATACACTGTCATGTAGGAGACATTTGCTGGAGGATGTGGTCCAAGCTCATGCAAAACAAAAACTGCAAGATTTGATCTGAAAAGTAACTCAAACAGGAGGACTGGAAGCATGGCTCAAATGGCAGAGCACCTCCTAAGTAATTGGAAGTCCCAAGTTAAAAACCCTAGTAGTACCACCACCAAATACCCACAAACCTGTTGAGTAGTTCATTACTTCATCTTGTTAATTTTTTAAAACACCTGCCTGTGTATTTATTATCTGTTTTTTACCTGGAACTGTGTTATGCTGAAGACAACAGTTACATTAAGTGATATTTACAACTCAACATGAGAAAACCAAGGTCCCAGGAAATTGAGGTATGACAGAAATTGACAGTCCCAGAATTCATATCTAGATATGTCTGACTGTGAAAAATACCTGATATATGGGCAGGGGAAAGAAGCTGCCTAACAAAATCTGTTATGTAAGTGAATAGCCATTTTAGAGGAATAGCTCCAAATTTCTGATAGGGTCTGTTTCAGGCTATTCCTCCTCCTTCATGTCTCAGAAAGGATGACAGGTAGGATTCACAGTTCCAAACTTAGGAACTCAGGCTCAACTCTATATCAAACTTAGGCTCAACTATCTATCTTTTCAAATATATTTATATTTGACCACTGTAAAAATACTGAGTTCTAACTGTATAGTGGTGGCACACATCTGTAATGCTAGCTACTGGGAGGCTGAGCCCAGGAAGATCGCAGTCTGCCTGGGCAGACATATCTCAAGACACCTTCTCAACCAATAGTTGGATACCGTGACACACACATCTCATCCTGGTTAGATGGAAGGCTGAGATTGAGAACATTGCAGTGTCAGGACGGAGAAATCCATGGGATTCCATCTCAATGGAAGATGGTTGGCATACTGTCATGTGCCTACCATCCTAGTTATGACAGAAAAACTAAAGTAGATGGATCGTGGCCCAGATGTGTGCCCAGGCACGAACTGAGACCCCTATCTCAAAAATAACCAGTACTTTACAACTCTGGGTGGGGGGGTGGTGGAGAGGAGTGTGGGAGGTGGGGGAGGGAAGGGATAGTGGGACAACAAGGGAAGGGGTAAAAATGATTGACAAGTGATGTACTCATTGCCTTACTCATGTAGCTGTAACCCTCTGTACAGCACCTTTACAATAAAAACTTACAAAAATAACCAGTACAAAACAGGGCTCAACAGGAGAGCACCTGTTTAACCAGTATGAAGCCTCACGTTCAATCCTCAGTGTCACAAACCAATCAACAACGACAACAGCAACAACTGAAAATGCCTCTTGTGCTTCTTACCTAAAATAATAAAGACATAGGGAAAGGAAACTAGCAAATATAATGCAGCAACAAAAGTAGGCTACTCTTTCATTCGTAACAAGTTTTCTTGGAATGTATTTCTTTCCCACTCCAAGGCATGGTGAATCTGCTTTGCCTGGGCTCTTGCCCTCCTGGTGAGTCACCTGAATAACTTTGATTAAGACAGCATGCTCTTCACTGAAGGAACTCTTCCACCCCAACAGTGTAGTGTGTGCTGGCATTTGTGAGATGTGAGTCCTCACAATGAAGAGTGGCTAAATCTGAGAACCTGGTCCCTTTTCATCCAGAGGCTGCTGTGAATTATGACTCACTAAATTACCTTTTCATGTTGGCTATAGAATATTGTGGGCAATTCATAATCCATTCATAAAATTTCTAGGACATGGTTGCTTGCAGATGTTTCTCTCAATGGTCATCGGCTTACATCACTGAGATGTTGTTTGTTAAGAGCAAAGAAGCTTCTCTCCCCTCCCACATAGCAGGTGCTTTCCTTACAAATCCTTCCTTCCCTCTTATTTTTAGTTAGTTCCGTTTGAGTCTTATATACCCTTGGAAAGCTGTCTAAGCCCTTTTGGGAATGACACATAGGTTTAAAGAAACAAGCAAACAAATACAGTATCTATAGATGTCTATGAGTAATTGGAAAAAAGAAATTACAGTTGATGGGTTTGCATTTGGAACTGAAGGAATGGTTAAACAAGCCAGATTGCATCAAATCACAACTCTCTGTTCACATGCCATCTGGTGACGTATTTCATTCTTCATTTTCAAGCTACACACATGTACTATCTATTGTTTCTGGATATCAGAAGTTCGAAGTATGTGTCACAAAGCTACAATATAGATCTAGGCAATGCTGGATAAGAAATGTACTCATTACCTTGCTCATGTAACTGTAACCCCTCTGTATGGTATTTTCACAATAAAAAACTTAATAAAAAAAGATCTAGGTTGGCTCCTTCTGCAGATTCATTTTTCTTCCTTTTTCCCATTTTTAGAAGACACCAGCGTTTATGGGTTCATGACCTTTGTCCACGCTCAAGTCAGGAATAGTCAGACTGTCCCTTCTCACGTTGTGTCACTCTGATATTTATGTTTCCACTTTTGAAGGAACTTGGAGATGACATGGGTTCACCTGAACAATGTAAGGTATCACTATTTTCAAGAAAGTTCTCTCAGGAAGATCCTTACTTCTGACTGCAGTTTTAACCCCTCCTTGCTGTGCCCCATGAGATAGACACAGGTTTCAAGGATTAGGATGGAGTCTTCTCTGCAGAGCTGGAAGTGTTTTGAATGTGAGAATTAGTTGGGGGAACACTGACATTCTGACAGTCTTACACCTTTTCAACTCATGAACATAAGGAAATTTATTCCACTCATTCATTCACACATCCCAGTAGTATGTTTTGAGTAAATTGCCTGTCTTGAGAACAGTCTTAGGGAACATAAAACATGCATGCACACACACAGGGTATTTGCATCAAAAGGTCTAAAAAAATAGGCTTAAGCTAAGCTTATGACTAAGAAGAGAATGAAGATAGGGGGACCAGATCAAACAAGCTAGACATTTGCTTGCAAGTTTTGTTTCTGGGCTGTTGGCATGAATCTTAGTTTGAGGCTAACCTGCAGATAGTGAGACATAAACCAAATACTTTGACCCTTCTTTCCTCTTATTTCCCCATTTCCTGCTGAGGCTCCCTACAGGTCAAACCCAGTAGGAAGCCTGGAGGTAGAAGTTCTCAGAAGTGATCCCTCCTCGGCAACAAAGATCAGACTCCATCCTGAACTAACCATCTTTTCTATCTCCTGAGCATTTCTGGTCTGCCAGGACCACAGCTAAGCCCCTGTAAACATCATTAACCTTATAACTTAGCTTCTAATGTCTGCTCCCTTTTACTTATGAAGAAATTGAAGTGTAGAGAGGTTAAACGGAAGTGTAGAGAGGTTAAACGTTTTACTTATAATTAATACCTAGATTGATGGGTAGTATGTTACGCACTTTCTGAAAATGTGGAAGGGCATTTGTTCTTTGGTGTATTTCATGTAGATAATTACATAATTGGTTCTCTAAATTTTAAGCAGTTGGGTACTTCCTAAACTATCTTGATTTTTATCTGCATTCCTCCTGTGTTATTGTTTCATAGTTAATTTAAAGCAAAATGTGTTTTTATTACACAAACAAGGTTAAAACTTATACATGCCTAATAAATGTTAAGCCAATGTATCTTCTCATAACTAGAAGATTATGACTATAAATGTAACACAGAAATAAAATACCTTTAATTCTGGTTAATGTATGCTCAAGGCTTGGGAGCCTAGAATCTTTGTAAAACTAAGAGATTAACAGGTGTTAATAGGGACTAACTTTCACACCATGTTATTAAACTCTGCACTAATGGTGGTGTCTTAACTTATTTTATGTACCAGGACAGGTAAGTGGCTCTTGGGCAGCCAATTCTTCCTGAGAGTACAGACAAGGATCTGGTTGTTTACAAAAATCTACTTATTTACCTAGCAGAGATAATGTGTGCATGGTGGATGAATTTATAATATTCATTATCCCATGCATGTGTTAACTCTTTAACGATAACTTCTGTCGTGTTTGCTTGTGTTATTTACCTCCTGGAGCGGACAGCTTGACATTTAGATGTTTCAGGGTTTTGGAAATCTCTCCCGTGCGGGATCTGTGTGGTCCCAAGAAGTAGTCAGAGGAAATGTTACTAATGCCATAGAAATTGCAGCCCAAAAGGTGAAGTGATATATTTGTCCATGGTTCCTTAATGGTTTTCAAATGGATTCTGAGAACTAATCTCATTCTGGAACTTAAAGAACTTTGATGTGCAATCTGAATATGTTTCCCCATTTGTGTTTACATGATCTGTTTAGCAAACAGAGGAAATAGCCTGGTTTAATTCTGATTGGGCAGTTTGGGTCCATTTTATTTTATCCATCTATCAATTAAGTTGTTATTATTCATTCATTTATTTATTTATGGTGTCCCTTTCTAGCTCAGTGTGCTTGCTCTCTGCTGATGCTCAACTACTTGTGCCTTGAGGTTGAACTCAGGGCCTACGCGCTCTTGTGCCCAACGCTGGTGTTCTACAACTTG